TCTGGTGCAACAGAGTCCCAGGTGTACAGAGAATTCCCTCATTGGTGCAAATTGTTAAGCGGTCAACTTCTAATCAAAAGGTTGATGTTGAAATCCACTCAGAGGAGCCTGGAAAGACAGGCCTCGTGATCTGTTTCTGAAAGCTCACAGTCTTGAGAACCCTATGGAGCAGTTCCACTCTGGACACTTGGAATCACCATGTGAGTCTGAATTGACAAGGTCACTAAGAGTCGGAACCAACTTCACGGCACATAACCACCACCACCAACAACAACAATTGTGCATAAGAACTTTCAAGTAAAAATATATGTTTTTTCAGTCAAGTTTTCCTTTGGGACTTTGGCAAGTCCCTGGCAAGTATGTGGGATTCAGGAGCCATCTCACTTTGAGAAAGCAGGTTGTCAGGAGGAAGATGATTTTGAACAAGATGAAGCAAAACCCTGGACTTGAATCTGCTGTGAACAAATGCAGCTTTGTATTAAAAAAAAAAAAATGTACAAAAAAACACCCGGCCTACAAAGCCCTAGATTGTGGATTTGAATAATTTGGCTCAGAGCCACTGAGACCGAGTGATGGACATTTTTATGGACTCAGTATTGAGTTGTGGGAGCCAGCAGCCATGTCACCTCAGCTCATTAACAGGTGTGGAATGTTCTCTACCTTTGGGACGAATCCAAGACATTTAATTATGTGTAAGTAAACTGCTCCCTGATTTATGCTTTGGGAAAACCAGGTACTGAGTCACCCCATTAATATGGCCATTTAAGACACAATTAAGAACACTTACTGTCTGAAATAACTAAACATATTTCCCAGCACAGGGCACTTCCCTACCCACCTCCCTTAGCCTGCAACAATCTCCTTGGCCACCTATCCTCCTGCCCTGACTTACTCAGTGTTCCCCACTTCCTTCTCCACCCAGTTATGTCTTCCACCACCTCCCTGGAGCCTGAAGCACTTAGTAACTCCCACAGGATACCTACCACACAAACTTGGGTGGAAGTTTGCTACAGAAAGCAGTGGTGCTGCTCCTCCAAGTTCCACAACTGTTTTCAGGCCCGCCCCCATGTATTATAATCCAACATCACTTCTTTTTGAATGGCTGAGGGCTGGAGCTTCTCAAGCAATGAGATTTACCTGTAGCCCACATTGCCTTAGGAAAAGGCAACTAAGGGCATTTCTCCTTACGTTGGTGCAGATGTATTAGCATTTTCTCTCTCCTTCCCTTGCTGGAAGATACTAGAACAACATGATAGATTAGGAAGTGGTTCCTGGAAACAGGCTTGAATCTGGTACCTAAAAGCACCTAATTTAACCCAAAAGACTACTAGTGTGTCTTCTCAGCTCCTTTCTTCATTAACATCATCAACTGTACCTCTTCACACATCTCAGCATGTGTGTCCCACTATGTCTTATAGGACTCATCCCCATGAAACAGCTTCCTTCACCCTTGGCCCCTATGCCTACCCCTCCATCCTTCTTCCTATGGAGCAGTGAAATCCTTCATATGACTCTTCCAAACATAGTCTTGTACCTGTCAACAAATTACTGGGTGGGACCATGCAATAGGGTATATGAAACTCTAGCATGGGGATGGGTCAGCTTTACCATTCTCTGGGTTTAAAATGAGCCACTTCAAAAGTAGGAATGTGGGGGTCTCCCGACCATTGAGAAAGAAGAGCCAGGAGTGGAGCACATCCTTTGGACCCTGAAGTCCCTGTACTGAACCAGACATGCGAGGCAGAAGCAGTGGCAGCAGAACCCACAACACCTCTGAGTGCTTTGGCACAGGAGGCTGACTTGTGGAATAAGGTACCCTTTGAACATTTATCAGCAGCACTAAAGGAGCTTCATAACATTTGTCTCAGTAGGGCAGAGGCCAACGAGCTGCATGGCTGCTAGAAATAAGCCAGGCAACTGGAAGGGAAACACATACACCATTATTTTAAAGCTCTATGTGATATTCAATAAGTAGAGTTACCAAAACAAGGAGCAAGGTAGGTAGGCAGACCTTTGAGAAATAGTGAAAGTAAACCCTAAAATTTCAGTGGTGACTTCTTTCATGAGAATTTTACAGAAAAATACAAAATGACAAACTGTCTTGATGAAATAGACTGATAGAAATTAAGATTATCCAGATTTTTCTATACTCAGTACACTGTCAGTAAGTATATTGGAGTCCCCAGAAAAATGCTTAAGGAACCAGGCAGTTACACTGATTATAGCAAGATCAGAGGAGACTGAGGCAAAATGCAAAGTTCATGGCTATCTGGAGAGGAGACAAACCAGTGTGTTTTAGCAGTTTTTGCCAGGGAATGTGGAGCTATTATTGCCAATCTGATTTTTTCAAGAGGAATTTAAAATGTTAAATATGAGTAGCATGTAACCTGCAAGCATAAAAATATTGGCTCAATTTTTTTAAATGTAGAGCCAATGAAACTATTTCCCACCTCTGTCCTAGATTTGGAGAATTTATTCAGGGTTGTTGTTGTTAAGTGCTGTTTAGGAAAGATGTTGTTGTTGTTGTTGTTGTTAAGTGCCATCGAGTCGGGTACGACCCATAGCGACCCTGTACAGGGTTTCCGAGGGTGTAAATCTTTACGGGAGTAGAAAGCCTCATCTTTCTCCCGCGGAGCGACTGGTAGTTTCGAACCTCTGACCTTAATGTTCGCAGCCCGATTCGTAACCACTACGCTACCAGAGCTCAGTGGAAAATCGTCATATCATTAAAGTAGTAATTACCTGTACTTGGTGGTGGTTATGTGCCGTGGAGTCTGTTCCAACTCATAGCGACCCTGTATAGGGTCTCTGAGGCTATAAATCTTTACGGGAACAAAAAGCCTCATCTTTCTCCCACGGAAACTGCTGACCTTGCAGTTTGCAGCCCGATTCGTAACCACTCTCACTGTACTGAGAGTCTCCTTAATACCATACTGAGCACTACTGTAAAATGAATTCTCTATTAATAGAATGGAGTAACATTCCCCAATACATGAGAACAACTTGTACTTTAGCTTCTTTGATATAGTTTGTATGGTTCAGTCTTCATCCTGCTTTCCCTTTTGAAGGTCAAATTGAATTTGTTTTGTTTTGTTTTTTTTGGCTTTCTAACAATATGTTCTGTATTGATATGAGAAGGATTCCTTTGTGAAGAGGGAGGTAGACAAAAAGCAAGAGATGAAGCATTGGCTGTATTACCAAGTAATCAGAGAGATCTGATTTGGGGATGGAAATGAGTGAGCTGCCAAAATGAAATCAAAGTGAAATTTCTTTGGTTACTGGTAATCTGTTAAAAACAAAGCAACCAATTCCTGCTGAGTATATTCCATATCCCATGGTTTTCAAGGATTGATTTTTCAGAAGTTTTTCACAGTCAGTATGATTTGGTGCCAACTCAATGGCACCTAATAAGAACAACAGATCACCAGGCCTTGTGGGGGGAGTTGAATCATTGACCTTTCAGTTCACTGTCAGGCCATTAACATTGACCATTTGTTACCCACAGGCCAGATATTATGGGGGGAAGCTGTGAGTGATGGCTATTAGAGAAAAAATACTGTCTTTTCTGAAGCAGAGAAGTAAGGGGATACTGGAAATTTTAGAGCACCAGGAAGGAAGTCACCTGTCTAATCACTGGTTTCAGATTCCTTGTGTTGATCTGATGTTATGTGCTCTTGAGTCAGTTCCGACTCTTAGCCACACTACATACAACAGAACGAAACCCTGCCCTGTCCTGTAACATACTTTCAAGTGTTATTATGCTTGAGTCCATTGCTACTACTCAGATTGAAATTTCAGACTCCATGGGATTTAGTTCAGAAAGCTTGACGTTTATCTATCCCAGGAGATTGAGTCTGTCTTTTCTTTCAGAAGTGTGTGCACTTAGCTCCACACAGTTTTCAGCAGTTTGGGGTTAGGAGGAGTTGGATAAAAAAATAAATAAATAAGGGCTTTCCTCAAGTTCTATCTGGGACTTCCTAAAATATTGTCATTAGAAAAGGATGGTTCAAAGTTGTACCTGAGTGGAGGACCTCATGCTCCATCTAGCAAATAACTCCTAAACCAAACCCAAACCAAATAGAAACCCTATAAGGCAGAGTAGAGCTGTTTCATAGACATTCTGAAGCTGTAAATCTTTACAAAAAAACACTGTCACATCTTCTCCTTGGTGGCTTCCAATTGCTGACCTTTTGGTTAGCAACCCATCGCTTAACCCACTATGCCAATATGGTTCACATAAATAACCCATTGTTGTTGTGAAGTGCTGTTGAGTCAGCTCCAATTCATAGGGACTTTGCATAGGATTTCCAAGGAGTGGCTAGTGGGTTTGAACCTCTGACTTTGTGACTAGCCATCCAATGCTTATCCAACAACACACATTAGGACTCCATATTCCTGTTTAAATGAGGATCTTGGAGATATAGAACGTAAACCACCTATGCCATGCTCTTGCAACGGGGATTCCAATGAATTCTTCCTGGTTGATGAAGCCAAACAAGAATGGTCTGCATTTGTAAAATGTGGGTGAACCAGAAAGCTAACTAAACCGGGAAAAATTATAGGTGGGTGGCCTACTAGAAACTTAATCTCCCTCTTAGTAAACAAGGGCAACCTGCAGGTTGCATAGCAACCAAATCTCTTTAGTGGCGGAATCAGAGACCTGCGTTTCCTTTGATCATGTGCTGCCCTCCGCACTCCTGGCAATTGTCCAGTCTCCCACCGAAAGGACTTAGTACACATCCTCTGAGTGTCCCATTCCAAGACTTTGACCCATCAGTTTTCCTTTTTAAAAATTCGCATCTGTTCTGATTTCTCTGAGTCTGCCTGAATAGATTTGAACCCGTTTGAAGCAGGGCTTGCAAATAATCTTGCAGAAATCAATTGGAAATTCCTACCTGAAAAAGATAGAAATCCCTGCTCCCCAAGTTACAGGTCAGTACCTCACTTTCTCAGCGCAGTCAGGAGAGAGCCGATACCTTCGAGAGCAGGTGCCCACTCACCTTCCGAGGGTCGAAGGGCCACACAGACAGCTAAGGCCAACAGGGCGAGTCCAGTCTGCTGCATTCCTGCCTGCTCCACCGCTTCTGTCGGCACCGCAGGTAAGGTTTTAAGATCAGGAAATGAGACTAAAGGTGTCCTTAGGAGCAGAAAAACAGTGCTGAGAAAAGGTAAGCCAGGAAGCCCCGCCCAGGGCGGTGCTCCGAGTATCCATCTTTCATGGTTCTATGACAAGCCTTTTGTCAGGCTCCTGACTTCTGAGCTCACCCTCTGGACTCAGGTGGCTTCAGTATCAAAGCAGTCTTGAATCTGGCAACTAAAGAGGCTATTTGGAGTTGGGGTGTGCATCAGAATCACTTGGGAAGCATTTAAAAATAAAACACAACTAACTATATACATGAATTCCCTCCTTAGACTTATAAACCAGAATTTTGGTTTATCCACTAAACCCCACTGCCTTGAACTGAATTCTGACTCATAGTGAAGCTACAGGACAGAGTAAAACTGCTCCTCGGGATTTCCAAAACCGTAAATCTTTATGGGAGCAGACAGTCTTATCTTTTCCCCTGAGGAGCACTGATGGATTTGAATCTTGGACCTTTCGGAGTAGCAGCCTAACGCTTAACCCACAGCACCACCAGGGATCCTTAGAATTCGAGTTTCATTGTTGTTGTTAGGTACTGTTGAGTGGGTTCTGACCCATCGCCACCATATACACAGCAGAATGAAACACTGCTCTGTCCTGTGTCAGCCTCACAACTGGTGTTATGTTTGAGCCCACTGTTGCTGCCTGGTACTGTGTCTGTCAATCCACCTCTTCGTCTGAAGAACAACATGCACAACGTATGTGAAACAAAGTCTTTTCATTCCTGCTTCCAAGGAGCATTCTGATTGTACTCCCAATACAGATTTCTAGTTTAGTGGTGGTGTGTGCTGTCGAGTCAGTTCCCACTCAATAGAGACCCTGTATAGGGGTTCTGAAGCTGCAAATCTTTATTGGAGCGGAAAGCCTCATTTTTCTCCCAGGAGGCACCTGGTAGATCCAAACTGCTGACCTTGCAGTTAGCAGCCCAGCTCATAATCCACTCTGCTATGAGGTCTCCTTCGATTTCTAGTTTAAAGGACTAATAATTAGAATTTTCAGAAAGCTCCACAGATGATTCTGATAGAAATCCCTTTACATAAAGGAATCAGAGCTCTTAACTAGCTTATTGAAACTGTAAGTTTCTGGGGACAAGGGTAACAAGTCATAAAAAAAAATTATCGCTGTGTAAAGATAGGGAAAAATTTGACCCTGTTCTGCTTCTGGTTTGCAGCCAAGTTGTTTCCATTCAAAAGAAAACCTCTCACTTTAAAGAGGTGCAAATGATTAAACACTTGCCTTCTGACTGAAAGGTTGGTGGTTTGAGTCCACCATAGGCACTTTAGAAGAAAGGCCTAGGCATCTACTTGTGAAGCATCACCCTTTTGAAACCCCTATGGAGCACAGTTCTACTCTGACACACATGGGTGACCATGTATGTTCTCAACTCATGGCCAATTGGCAGCTGGTTAAGCGTAAAGCACTGTGTTGAACATTTAGAACAGAATGGTGAGCAAAGGGGACAAGGCCCCTGTCTGCAGGGAGGACAGACAATTAAACAAGCCATAGCAATAACGGCTGCTAAGTGCCAACACAGGGGAAAACCAGTGTTTGGGGCGCTGGGTGTTTTTCAGTCTGGGAATGAAGAGCCCTGAAACATGATTTGTTAAACTGCTGCCTAATTTAGAAAACCATAACATGGTGGCATCATCCCATCCTTTATTGAGCCAACCTCTTAGTAGTGAATATTTAAAATGTAGATTTTTTGACTTTAGGTCCAGAGAGGGAGAGGGGCTGTGTGCTGATGACTGGGAGGCAGGCTTGCAGGGTATACCCTTTGGTTGATTGATGATGCATGGAGGGGATTGTAACCATGTCAATGAAACTATATATGATAGGATGAATGTAAAACTAATGTTCTCCCATGTAAACTATCACATAATTCACAATAAAACATTAAAAAAAAAAAAAAAAAAAAAGTAGGTTTTTTTCCCACTTGTATGGAGCATTGGCAGTGTAGTGGATTACAAGCTAGGCTGCTAGCTGCAAGGTCAGCAGTTTGAATCTACCAGATGCTCTGCAGAAGAAAGATGAGGCTTTCTGCTCCCATAAATATTCACAGCCTCAGAAACCCTACACAGGGTCACTTTGAGTTAGAACTGACTTGCTGGCACACAACCACCACCACCATAACTCTGAAGAATATCACTTACAATAATTCACACTTTTATGCTCCTTCTTTAGAATAAATTCTGAGAAGCAGAATTGTAAACAAAAAAGGTCATAGTTGTTTGAAAGCCTTGTGATTCATATTCAGGCTGTTAAAGCTTAAAAATGAACTACATTGCATCCTGAAATGAGGGGCCAGCAGAAAAGCATAGCACAGTTTATAAAATGGCTCCGGAGAGCGCATGGCAGGGCCTTTTCATACTCTGAAGATCCCACTCCCAACTCAGTGTTTAAGGACTTCCTTATGAAGGTAAACAAGAAAAGGCATTCCTCTCTGGGTAGACACACAAACTCGGGACCCACAGCTTAGCAGGCAGAAAGCATCTGTGCAGAAACCCAAAGTGATTTTCCTCTATTCGAAAAAGAAAAAGAAAAAAAGATACATGTGTGCCCCTTGCTCAAATCAAATGTAGACTTAGCAAGTGAAGCTCAGCTGCATTTCTGCCCCTACTCCAGCAACATCAGGAAGCCTTCTGAAGTACGCAAACTGCACAGTCATCCACAGCAGCTTGGTCTTGCTGTTTCTTCCCGTGACTCTGACCTTGTTGCCTTTGCCTGGACCATCTTCCCAACCTCTCCCATCCAATCTGGAAAGTTCCTAGTCATTCTTTAAAGCACAACTCCGGTGTCACTATTTCTCCCTGCCCTTCCTTCCTGCTTCCTCGGCCTCCCTTCTCTTCTCAAAGACTTTCGTGCCAATATGCTTTCTTCTTTTACCTTTGCCTCCCTTCTGTGGAGCTCTGGTCTGACACACCACAGGTGCAGCATCCATGTCTGTGAATGGAATGCCAGGTGAACTGAATTACTGTTGTGTACTCCACATTGGGATTTTATCAACTTATATTGTGACTTAAAAAAAAAGTACAGATGTTGGTAAAAACAATGTGTGTGTGTATATATATATGAAAATTGTATACTTATATTAATACATATTATACTTATATTATATGAAAATATAAAAATCATTTATAGCCAAATGGGAGTCCTGGTGTGGCACTGCAGGTTAATATACTAGACTGTAAGCTTGGCTTGAACCTCAAGGTCAGTAGTTCAAGCTCACCAGCCACTCCTTGAAAACCTGTATAGGGGTCTCTATGAGTCAGAACTGACTCAATGGCACTTAGCAACAACAACCTAATAAAATGTTAACACCAGTGTAACAGTCAGCTTTATATTCTTTCACATTTTTTTCACTCATTTGTAAGCATCTTTTGGGGATTTTTTTGTGTGTTTTTTTTAAATATCATATTTTTAAAAAACACCAGGTTTACTGGTTAGATCGAAACTGGTAGAACTCTGAAACTATGGCCCTTGGTTCAGGTCTGGAATTGAACTCATAAAATAAAATAGGAAGTATTATGCAATTTTAAAAATTGTCTCAATATTCAGCCAAACAATAGATTGTTGTTATTGTTAAGTGCCATCAAGTTGCTCTCAACTCATGGTGACCCTATAAAGGGATTCCAAGGAGCTTCTGGTGAATTTGAACCACTGACCTTGCAGTTCAAACCAACCTTGCAGTCCGGTGCATTATTCCACAACACACCACCAGAACCCAATACTAGTGAAACATACACACCATAGAATGGTCAACCATTCAAGATCAAAAGAGTAGCATTTACCTAAGGACAAAATTTCTAAGGGTTGGGAAAGAAGAAGGAATGGAAGCAAAAAACACAAGGAGGAAGTGGGATAAGTGATGTTACACTGAGGGGAATACACTGCGAGAGGAAACAAAGTGCATCATTTGTTTAATGTAAAACTGTAAACCTTTGGTCAATTCACAATAAAAAGGTTTTTTAAATTACATAATACTTCCTATTTTATTTGTTTTTCAGTTAAGAGATAGGAAATAACTCCCCCATGACCATACCCATAAATTAGTATCATTTCTTCTGTCAATGGTTTCATAGTATTTATTATATGGGTTTTTGGTTTTTTTTAATATGTTGTTGTCAGGTGCCATCGAGTCAGAACTGACTCATAGTGACCCCATGCACAGCAGAATGAATCAATGTCCGATCCTGGGCCAACCTCACTACCGCTGCCACACTTGACGCCATCAATGATGCCACCTGGACAATCCATCTCGTTGGGGGTCTTCCTCTTTTTCTCTGACTCTCCATCTT